TTTGAAAGAAAGAGAGACATATATGTACCAAGGAATTTTGTGGTTAGGTCTTCTCCACTTGTTTTGCCCTGCACTTATTGTACGATTAATTATATGCATTCAATCTGTAACATATGTCCCATTGCACATGTGCTCTTGAATGAATAATACCATTAGTACAGACCAATTACTGTAGCAGATCAAAAAATGGGATTGACAATAACATATGTCCCATTGAACTACTTTCGCGTTGCTTTTTGATAGTTGCATTTCTTCAATTTCCAAGAGGGTATTCGATAGTGTAAAAATATCATAAATGAGACCATTTTAATCTTATTTCAGATAGAAAAGTGGTGTTTTATTATGTGTGGATGGTTTCCGTCCATAAAATAGTATGGATAAGGACGGTCAATACCCCAATCATTATCTATAGTATTTTCTCATAGATGAGATATATTATAGTGTAGATAATTTGTGAGAAGGATTCGGTATAATACACTTATGTTGCATTGGTCCAACTACTCTCATTTTATTTAATATTTTAATTTATATTGAAATTATTTTTTTAAATCATTTATTGTTGAAAATAATATTATGATGACAAATATATATATATATATATATATATATATATATATATATATGTGTGTGTGTGTGTGTGTGTGTGTTTTATATTTATTAGTAATTAAGTATTGGTGTTTTATCTTATCCATTATTATTTTAAATTTTTTTTGCTTAAATGAGGTGCAAAGGGATCGAATCGTAATCCAATATTCCAATCCAATCTAATTCAAATCCCATCATGTTTTTGTCGGATTCGAATAAGCCTATGTCGGATTTTTGGGTTGATCGAATAATCGGATCTGATTGAAAATTGGATCAAATTCGGATCATCCCAATCCGATCTGACATTATCCAATCCAACTCGATCCTAATCCCATCATTATATATTAATATATTTATTTATAAATATGTTTATATTACATTTTTTGTAAATCTTTTATAAAAAAAAAGACTTGTATATATTAATATATATGCTGAAAATAGTTGAAAAAATACCTATATTTTTTGTTTTTGTTTATATAAACTTATGTTTTTTATTTTAATAATTTGTTAGTATTTTCATAATTCGAATCAGATTGGATCAAATTCAAATATCTATCATTCTTAATGGATTTGGATTCGAATCACCATTTGTGAGATCTAATTGGATCTTCAGATTGAACCGTATCTAAGATTCTACTATTAGATTGAATTCGAATCATGGTATATCCGATCCGTTTGCATCCCTATATGTTCGGTTGTGTAAATTATTCCACAAGTTGTATATAAGATGTATAAAATCAATAGGTGTGGTATGGACCACTCCACACTACACTTACGGAACGCTCCTGTGGGTGTAGATAATTTTTCCACAGTTTTTTCTACAATTCAGAACAACTGTAAATAGTAATGTAGTGTGAATTGATTCCTACCACGAGATATGATGTAAATCAACCCATATCCACCAATTTCTCATTAACGTAGAGCACCCCTAAATTGCACATAAAATTAAGTTAAATAAAAAGAGCAAGAACTCTCAGTTTGGTTCATTGTCTTGGGCGACAATACGTGCTTCTGGTTGGGTTGAAGTTGCATGGATGGGGGGGCACACATGAGTGGGAGATCGGATCTGGCAGAACAAGCAGTGAGACCACTGAATAAATGCCTTGATAAGTGACACCTGTCCATAGATGGACTTGGGAGGTATTTATGATACAGGTGTCAATATATTAACTCCGTCAGTGCTTAGTACTAGTTAGTTTCCATGCGGCTTCAATAAGAAGCCAAAATGGGTTGTCGATAAAAGACTGCTTGATAATGGCTAAAATTGTTAAACTGAAATAATTATTGCTTTGTCATTTAGGTTCAGTTTGGAAGGGGTATAAATACAAATATGTAGACTGTAAATTTTGGATTTTGTTTTTGTACTATACATATTGTATTTGTATTTTTTTCAGATTTAGCCTTATGCTCAGTTTGGGAGTATAAATACAAATATGTAGAGTTCAAAATTTTGTATTTTGTATATATTTATATTCTTTTCAAATTGAGCTTTGTTAAAATTATTAAGGCTGCATTTGGAAACGATGCAAGTACGGTGTAAATCGCAGTTCAGGGTAAATTTGCACTTTGGTTTACTTTTGTTTGCATTTGGCAATATTGCATTTATACATTGGCAAATAACATATCAATGCATATTTACATTGATAATAAGATGTAAAAAAGTACATCAATAAAAAATAAGTAAATTTGCATTCAAGTGGGCTTTTGATAAAAAAAAAAAGCATATATTTTATTGGAATTTGTGTTTGCATCCATTACAGCTAAAAGTCTGTTTAATAAGAAGGTAAATTTGTTCGTCCAAAATTAACCCAACTTTACAATTTATATGGACCGTTTTACACTCTACATATTTGCATTCACACTTATTTGCATCGTTTCCAAACACAGTATAAGTGATCAAACGCCCCTTGTATTATGGGACCATTAGCAATTATTCAACGAACTTTCATCTATGCCAAACTCCCATGAACTTTCATTTTGCAACATGTACCCCTCCCTGTCCCAAATGAAAATTAAGGGTATAGTGATCCATCCAATTATTCAATTTGAGCTATTAAAGAATCCACCTTATAAGTTTATTCACTAAAAAACAAAGCAATAAACTTTTTAATTCAGCAACTTCAACTGTTATCAAACAGCCCCTAAATCATTTGAAGGGCTTTCGCTTCAGCCTCTGAGTAAGTTATGGCAATCACTTAAAAGCAGCTAAACCATCTTCACAGAATCTTTAGCTCAGCCTCTCATAGGAATTCTTGGTGTGCTAATTAAATGTGCATACCAAATCCAGATTCAGTAAGCCTTGTAATGTGAATTTTACCCTCCTAATGAAAATCTTGATACTTCAGATCCCACATGATCGGCTCCAGGACCAGGACTACTGTTAGTGCATCATTTAGTGCCATTAATACCTTATTCCAAATACTTCCATAATACCAATATTGTCCCATGAACCCAGAAATTGAATTTTTGTTCCTTAATTCCAATTTCCTTTATTAAACAAAATCCCAAGAAGTACAGAAATACAGTCTGAAAATATAGACTTGAAAATCATGACTTTTCCTATTGTTTAGGAAAACGAACCTCACCAGCCTTCATTCATCCATCCATCCCATGGTAATTTGTTGATTAGAACAGATGTGGATTCCTTTGTTCATCAATATTTGGGAGCGAAGGTAAAATTCGAGGAAAGGTTCATAGTCGTTCCAGTTTTAGAGAGATGTGGCTCATTATCTACAACCATGTCCTGAAATGGAAGCCCTCTTCCTTCTACTTTCACAGGGGACCATTGTTACCACTCCAAAAAAAACGGACATCTCAGCGCTCTGAAACATCACTAAGACTGTCTTCTCTCTATGGTGGTGTTTCAGGGCGGAGAAGAGAGGAAATGAAAACGAAGAAAAAAGAGAGGAAGAAGAAGAAGAAAAGCAGGGTGGAGATGAAGAAAAATATAGAAAGAAAGAAAGAAAAGAAGAAAAAAGAGAAGAAAAAGAAAGGGAGAGAATGACATGTTTTAAAATTTTAATCAATACCTATAAATTGTTTTTGAAAGTTGAAGGTATATACAAATAATTATTCAAATGTAATAATTATCCCTAGGGGTGATTTGCCAACTAATAATTTCTTACTTGCTAAAGTTGTGTCGTTACTCGTTACCAATAATTTCCAAACCAATAATGCGAAAACACCTTAAAAATACATACCAAATATCATATCAGCATTATTTCTGCTAATCAAATGTATTTTAGAGCATAAAGACTGTTTGGTTAAGGTACATTTGTCACGCAAAGACATAATTAAAAAAATTGAAAAATTCTATTTGGAGCTTCTTAAAAATAGTCTAAAACGAGTTTGTGCATTTTTCAAGGAGACATCTTTTGGCAGATAAATCTTTTTCCAACCAAATGAAAAAAAAAAAAAAAAAGCTAAAGCATAGGCTACCAAGGTTCTGAACAGCTGACAGCCTGTGCAAAAAGACATGCCAAACAGGACCTAGTTTTTCAGTGAATCTCTTGGTTTTGTTTGCCTCCCATAGGTAAGAGCTGTAAAGTGTAAAGGACAGGGCTAAGTGAGGGCTATAATTGTTATTTTCGCTAAATAAGCATTTGATAAGAAATTCATTTTGGCTTAGTTTGGAAGGAGTACAAATATAAATATGTAGAGTGCAAAATCTTCAACTTTGTATTATTTTGTATGTATTTGCATTGTACATATTTATATTTATATTCTTACCAAGTTGAGCCTTTAATACAACAAACAAATGCTTATTTTAAGAATAATCGGTTGTAAAAACCCAAGGTTTTTAAAATCGAACCAGACAGGAACTGTTTTAGGGACTGGTTCCTAGGTTGAATAGTCCAATCGTCCGGTTCGAATGGACAACCTGTTTTAACTTAAAAAAATAAAAAATGGTCAAAACCCATTATCTGAGGACTGGGTCGACGATTCAACTGCCCAAACCAACACGTCACTGACCAAATCAACAGTTTTTTACTAAAAAACGGTTTGAAGGTGAAATGGAACCGATTACCTAACTGGTTCCCGATTTTCTGATCCAACCATCCGATCCGATCCGGTGCGGTTTTGAAAACCATGTAAAAAACACTTCCAAGATACTAATTAAACACTTGTCCGAATTAGTAATTATTCGAATAAATTCCTCATTTCTAAAACATTGCCCAAATACCTAATTCATTTGCTAAAGCCCCTAAAGCAACGAGTCTGTGCAGCTCTTTGGTTTTGTTTGCTGTCAAGTGCAAAGGACAGGCCGGCCGACAGGGTCAAGTTTTTGTTTGCTTCGCGGTATTTGTTGAAAAGCACAGGGCGAAGAACTTAAAGACTTGCAAAAGCAAAACTCGTTGGTGGCTAGCATCTGCATCACTTGGTAGATTTTAACTGGAATCTGGGGTAGGAAAAGGATTGTCTTATGGGCTATGGGCCCAGAGGAGCTGTGGTCCATTGAAACGAGAGAGAGAGAGAGAGAGAGAGTAGTGGGCATTGGGCAAAATAGAATATCCAAACTATCTCCCCGTCCTTTTTATTCCTTCCCTCTTTCTCCCCTTCTCTTCCTTTCTTCGTTCCATCCCACGAAAGTCTCCTGTGGAAGCATTCTCAAATGTAAAAGTTCTCCCCAATTCACGCCTTTCTTACACGGTAAACCCATCTGATTCTTAGTTGAAATTGAAACCCGGAAAGTGATCCCCATAATTTCTCCAATTTTCTGAATTGTTCCAACAGTATGGAACTCGTTTTCTCAGTGTTTGTTTCTGATGTAAATTTCAGGTCTTTCATTGCCGACTTTGGAGATGAATAAAGAACGGCAACCAGAGCCTCTGGATTTCTTCATTTGGACTGTTGAGGTATAAATTCTTCTTTTCTTATTTTCCTTTTCTTTTTGCTTTCTATCAGACGTGGTTCTTTCAGTCTTTTAGGCAGATCTCCGTATGCAGTTTCTGTAATTATAGTGCGGATTAATTGTGAAGTATGTAATTTGGACATTGAAGAACTCGAGACTCTACCGGAGATACAAAACTAGTTGTTTATGAGTTATGACTTTTCTTCATCATTTAGTTGTTTATGGTTGTTGAGATCTGAAGCTATCGTCTTTCCTCCTAATAAATTGTCTGCAATAGATTTTTCTCTACCACATATATTCAGCATGAACTACATCATGGGAAAAAAGTCCAGAACCATGAAATCTTGCACTCGTTGTAAATTGATTTTGATCATTCCATTTAACGTTCATTGCCGTGAACTCGTCAATATTTAACCTTCATAATTTATAAATGACTTTCAACTATTCTGTAATTATTTCATGGAACAGCTATGAACTGTAGAATTTAGCTACATAATTAATTAAAAGGACTATGGAACCTAACTGAATTACATTAACGGACTAAAAGGCAAACACGATTCAATTTGCATATCCAAACTTACACATGTGCAAGAACTGGTGACGTATTGATTTTGTATTCGATGGGTGTAGAAGGGGGGACGCACATATGTTTGGCCTCGTATGAGTTTGTTGACACTTAGAGTTAGTCTTATGTGCGTCCCATATGAATGTGTTTCCTACTTTTTCTTATTCGTGTGGTATGATAGTTTCCTCTTCAAACTTGCAAGTTGGCATGTGTCAGAACACTTCCCCCACTAAACTCTACACTTTGTACCAACTAATACAGTGTAAATAATGCATTGTGTCCGCTACGCTGTATTTTTGCTTTTTTGCAACATTCTGACAGGGTCCCACTATTCCTAACTCTGTTGGAAGCATTTACTTGGCCCTATCATGAAGGGAGGAGGATTCTAACCACCATCCCCAATTTATGCTTTACTGTTTGGTGTTAGCCATAGTCTCTATCTATAATTTGAAATTTCTGTTTGGTATGTTCTGGGTTGGTGGACAATGTGACTGGGACTTTGCAACGACATTGAACAGTTAGCCATTTTACTCCATTTGTTAATTGTTAAATTTTGATAAATGTGGATGTGTATCAACCTTTCAGTGAAGCGCATGTGGTCTCTATTTAGGGTGTTTGAAAGAAATAAAAAGTGAAACTATTCTAATGGATAAGTAAAGTTGTTTTTGTGTGTGTGTGTGTGTTTAACTATGATGTGAAATGAAAAGAATATCAAATTCAAAATTATAAGTGAACTACTTAAACTTCAAGTTGAAGCCAGGGAGAAAAGATCTTCAGTTTGTTACTTTACTAGCATCCAAAGTTTGGATATTCAGTTTGTAAAGCAGGGAAGGGAGTATAGTTCTGACAGGGCAGTTTTTTTATCAGTCCCAGTGTACATCATCTTGTTGTACATGTTTTGGTTTACTCCTTAATAAAATCTTGCTTTACCTTCCCTCAAAAAAAGCTTTGAGCCTTGAAGCTCACTCAATTGGATTGATTTTGTTATCATTAGAAATCTTATCCATCATTTATCCAACAACGTCAAGATTACGCAATATGGGCATGAATTGAGCATGTTACTGTCAATTTACAAGCAGCTAAAGAACTTATCACGGGATTCTATTCTTTTAGGTTATTTGAGTTTCTGAATTAGAGTTCTAGTACTTTTATGACTTACTTCAGTATTTATATGTTTTATAAATGGTTAGAAATTTGTGCCAAACTTGCAATGGATCAAAAAAGTAAATTTTTATAAGCCTATGGAAGGTCCATACTATTGCTATAAAAGAAAAGGACAAAAATTGGGATAAAATTTTGCCTTTGGATTAGTTTTCCTTTGGTATCAATTTCAAATTTACTTGATGGTTTCAATTCCTTCAAGATGGTATCAAATTTTGATTCCTAATAGTTCCTCTAGGTACTAATTCCTAGAGAAGCTTAGGTGCTTATTCTTGGTTCTTCTTTTTTAATTTCGTTTTGTATGTCCATCCTGTATCAGATTGGTATCAGAGCTTATAGTCTAGGCTAAATTAGTTGCTAATCAAGAAGATGGTCTTGTAATTTTGCAAAAGTTTGAACATTGGGATAAACAAGATGCTGAATCTTACAAGAAGACTCCATAGGCATCTAGTTTGCCAAAGCAACAAGAAGACCTCTCTTTATTGTCTTCTGATCCTTTAGCCTCTATGCCAAAATATAGTCATTTCAGTTATGTTGCTGGGGTCTCCATTTATTTCATTTAAAGAATTTGGCTTTCAAAAGGAGCAGCTTTGTATCATATGTGAAAGAATAATTGGAGAAATAGTTTCATGCTTCAAGTCCAACTCTGCTCTTTAACATCATATAGTTTGCATCAGTATCTTTTGTATCTCAATCAATGTCATAAATCTTTCTTATTGATTAATTGTCAGACATGCCCTTCCTTCCATAAATATAACTAGTAATTAATGTTGCAGACTTATCAGATTGAATAGTTGGGCTTTTTGCACTGGGAACAGGCTGCCAAAACAGTTTTTGAAGGCTTCGTTCTTAAAAATGTTTGACTTGGTCAAACTTACCCCAGATACACGTGTTAATAGGTGTTATAACCTATAATTTTGTCTGTATTTTTATTTGACCGAGTCAAATTGTACAGTTGGACCATGACCAAAACAGTTTTATGTCTGGTTTGAGTCTGGTAAAATTTCTTGTAATCTTCTTGCTCAGAATCTGTATTATCTACATAGAATGAAATCAAGAATGCATTGGCGTCATTGTCACTTCAGCATATAGATCAGTTGTTTTCCATGAATATCACCCATTGGACCAAAAACAGTATGGATAAAACATGTCAAGAATGGAAGAAGAAGGGAGCTTTGGTAGACTTGTATGGGATGATAGCAGTTTGGTAAACAATATTATCCCATGATTGTGTCAATATAGATATGTTATGAAGGAAGTCAAGCAGATGCTGAGAAAAGCGAGTGCTAGCAGACACCTCAACTAAGCAAGGGGTGGATGGGAATCAACTGTTTCGGGGGGTTACTTTGTAATATTTCTGATGGGATGATTAAATTGGAGTTAGGGAGCAGCCTGCTAGCCAGCCTAACAAAAAAGGATTACTTTTAACCTGATTCTCATGTTTCATTTTTTTTTTTCAAAATTAATAATATTGGACAGTCAGTTATTGAGTTACCAATCAAAAAATGGGAATGGTCATGATTGTACATTGGGTGAACATAAAAAGGAAAAGGTGCATCAGCTTGGCATTGGTCCACAATGTGGACTACCATAAGAAGGATGTAGAATGGAAAAGAGGAAACTGCTACCATATTAGGAAAAAACTCTGATGATTTTCCTATTTCCCTTATTTCTGGACGGGGGGTAGTGTGTTTGGGATGGGGCAAGTGTGGATTGTTTTAGTTATTTATTTATTTTTGAATAAAAGGAAACTTTCATTAAAACAGAATACTGAAAACAACAAGGTTCTAAGCACTAGGGGTGCTGCTAACAGAATCAGAGCTTACAGGCTCCTTAATCCACTCAGGCAAACAAAACAAAAAACATCTCTGATTCTGAAAGCCATGCTGCGCAATAACATGTGCCACCCTATTAAAATCCTGATTCACAAACTTAGTTTCTTTCGAGTTTCTTCTTTTGAAGTTTGTTTCAATTTCGGTTGGAGTCTTTTGGTGTGTTTGTGGTGTGTTATCTCAACACCTGTTTATTTGGTTGTATTCAGTTTTTGTTTTCTTTAATAAAATTTCCTTTTTCTTATAAAAAAGTCCTGATTCACAAAAGAAAAACTAACAGAACTCAAAATATCTTTAACTATATAAGAAACTTCAACTGGCAATTCAAATTTTCTGTATCTGAGGCAGTTGATCAGGAGCTTGTTGTCTGATTCTAAGACAATGCAGTTGAAGCCACACAGAGCAGCCAGCTCCAGACCTTTGTAGATAGCCATAGCTTCTGCCTGTAGGGGATATACAGCTCTACACGAACCAAACATAGCCACCACACAAGAAGAATAACTGTCTCTGGTCACCACTCCAAAACTAGCCTTATTTAAGGAAGAAAAACCTCCATAAATATTTACTTTAAAGCAGCCCGAATCCGGGGAAAGCGTGGAAGGTGTGAGTAACCAGTTTTTTAAAAGAAACAACAATAGTTTGAGTTAAAACCAAGAGACCAACCACGGTGCATTAATGAAATTTGCAACATGTTAAATCAAGTTTTCAACCAATCACATTAAAAATGTCATATGATCTACTTGCTTTTCATTGGTCATATTTCACAAGGTGTTCTTATCATCAAGACTTCAGCAACATTAAAGATGTCAACTGTGGCATATCATTTTATCACTGGTTCACGTTTTTTGCTTCACAGTGCAGTTCATGCATCATAGGTTATGCCTAAAACCAGCAACTCTTTATCAGTCAAATTGAAAAGAAAATGGTACTTAAAGACAAATAAAAAAGAAGTTGAATGGCTTATTCAAACAATGAAATAATTATAATGAGAAGGAATGTAATTGGTAGAGTCTTTAATGCCATAGAGTTTGGTGGATGATATTGAGGTAAATAGGAGGTTTGAAAATTAGAAAATTGTCTAGGTTTTATTTGGCAAAGAAGGCATCATACCTTAGTTAACAGGAAGATAGAAAGGAGCAGGTAGCCCTAGTGTCTTTTGATTTCCATAGCAGAAGAAGAAATAAAAAGGTGATGAAAGAAGTTTTCTTTGGGAGGTAGAGCCTACAAAGTTTTGACCTTAAACCAACTTCCAAAAGGTTGTTGGTAAATACATCTAACATCATCCCTGTGTAAGACAACTGCACCATTCATGGCATTGAAGTAGAAGGTTGTTGTCACCAGAAAGAGGACAGGCTAGAAGCTTAAGACTGATATCAATGGCAGTTAGTAAATCTATCTCAGCAAAAGCCCTGTTGATTAGCAGTTTACTTACCATGTCCACTTTTTAGTTTTGGTTGTTCAGCTATTCTGTAACCCTTCTTCCTGTTGGGCTGCCAAATCTATAATTTTCCAGAATTAATTGCTATTGACAATGGTGGAAAAATGTGCAATATACTGGTTATGCTGTATAAGGATTTCCATGTCTCACAAAGTCATCAATCCATGTATCAGTGAGTACGAGTACCATGTTAGCTGCTATGGTTTTCCTTAGTACCAACATGGCCCAAAGCCACCCTGACTGAGTTAGCAAGGCTTGAGCCTGAGATATATGTTTATGCTGTTACCTGTTCCATACTGCCCTCTATTGCAAGTTACTTTTTCATTCAGGAGTATATCAATGATATCCTTCCCATGAGAGAGAAGCAAAGAAAAATGCATACAAGATTTGCACATTGAGATAATATAGATCCATTGCAGAGAAAAATACTGGACAGAAGTTACAAAACATTCCAAATACATAGAGAACGGTACTTTGGTCCTTAAGGCTATGTTTGGTTTGAAGGAAAAAGTAGGGAAAGGAAAGGAAAGGAAGGGAAACTTTTATAAATCTTGTATAGGTTTTCCTGCATTTCTCTTCCTTTCCCTACTTTTTCCTTCAAACCAAACATAGCCTAAGATCATTGTGGAGATACCTTTAGCCTCAAGGATGGAGTATATGGTTGATGGGGCAAAAATGGAAGAAGGTGGTGTATGAATATGCAGTTGCAATTAGGTTGGGATTTGGGAACATGTCACTGGTTGAACTGGTCTACCATTAGCAGTTTATTCCACAAACGAAAGAGACAAACATATAATGATTCAAGTCACCCATCCTACGAGTGAATAAAATAGCAATAGTTTACTTGTGATGTTGTGAAAAGCACCAAAGATTAAGATATTACATAGTTTGGGAAATGGATGTGGACCCTGTCTATATGGGGCAGCCATCAATCTCTGAGTGAAATGTAACATGGCATTGGAATATATGGACTTTGAGATGGATATGTGCTTCTACAACTAGCTGTATAAGCATTTGGCAAAACTTGTCCATCCAAATTCAGCTGTATGTTTTGATGTTTATTCATTCTACTATGAGAATACTAACATGAATTCAATATATTTGGGAATTATAGAACAAGGGGGATTTGTACTTGGTAATGAATTTCACATGGATGATTGGTTGAGGCTGAGCATCCCTCTTCTTTTATGTACCTTAGTTCATTTCTAACCAATAAAATTTTCATTGTTACTAATCAAAAAAAAAAACATGATTTGGCATTTACTATAAGAATTGGCAAGACCTGTCTATCTGAAATCAACTATAATTTGTTTTGTTAGGATGTTGGTTTGTGGTTGGAAGAGATAAACCTTGGTAGCTATCGCCAAATTTTTGAAGATAATGGTGTCAATGGAGAGTACTTGGAGAGCTTGTCTATGTTCACCACTGAACAAATCCTCCGGTTTATAAGGAGGTGCCACATGAAATGGGGTGACTTCATCACACTTTGCAAGGAACTCAGACGCATTAAAGGTCTCTCTCTCTCTCTCTCTCTCTCTCTCCCCCCCCCCCTTGATTTTTGCTATTCTTGTATGGTTGAGACCATTGAAAAGGGCCTGGAACAATGTATAGAAATATCAGACAGTTCAATGCCGTGCTGGATTTCTGCTACAATATTAGATACAATCTTATGGTGTCATTGTGGATTTGTGGTCAATGTCAAGTATTGCTTGTGGACTATAATTAAATTTTTGGTTTAATTGAATGACGTTAAATGTAATCTGCAGTGGCTTGCTTGAAAGGGGAGCAAGAAATACGGCGACCATGGTGGGCTCCATCCTGCCTCTCAGCAGTTTTTGTTAAGGTGGCAAAGCGCAATAGACAGTCTAGAGTTGTTTCATTAAAGCTGGAACCATGATGCAAATGTGGTTTGTATGTATGTATTTTTCTTCTCTTTCTATTTAAAGAAAAAAGGGAAAGATCTCTTTTATCTTTTAGAAATTTGAAATGGTGTTTCTGTTAGCAGAAACCTTATATTCCAAGCTTGTGTCCTCTTTTTCTCGGTTCCCTTTCTGCTAATCTTCTCCACCTTCTGGTCAAAGGGGTAGAGAAAAGGAAGAGAAAATGAAAAAGTGGTCTGCTGAACTTGAAGAGCAGAACAATATGACGAACCAAGGAGATTGCGGTTGATTTATATAAATATGCTTTAAACATTATCATGTTACAGATTCTGAGTTTCTGCTGGAAGTTCTCAATTAAGAATTCAGTAATTGAAGGATTGATTAACAGAATTAATGTTTATCATCAACTGTGTATCCTGGCAGATGGATCGCAGTAACTGGGAGAACAAATTTTTGCCTCTATCTCGGATCATCACAGGATGATATTGTATTGATCATTTGGTTTAGAAATTTGTATCAAATTTTACATTGTTTCCCATTCGCCTCTGTAGACTTGAACTCAGAAAAGAATCCTGCTTTCTTGGGTTTAGTGTGTTACTATCGTCACCGTTACTGCTACCATGATTCACTTCAGCAATAAAGAAAAAGGAAAGAGTGATTTAGAATTAGTAGCTTACAAGGATTTCACTATTTCGGGGGGTGGGAGGGGGGAGTAGCATCAGATGATGGTGGTCTTAAATTGATTGATTTGCTGCTCTGAGATTTTGAAGGGGTTATTCATTTTGGATTCATCTCTCATGTTGAAAATTCTGAGCGGATCGGATTGGATTCAGATTTAACCCCAACCATATTAATGTGTTTAAAATGACCAAAACATTATAAAAGTTTTAAGAAAACTTAATTATTTTTAAGTTATATATGTATAACTGTATATACATATAAAACATTAAACTTGATAATTATGAACTTTATATAATTATACATAATATTTACATGTATATATACATAAAATAATATTTTTTATTGAACTTGGATTTTAATTGGTTCAATTTGGGTTAGATCCACATCTCATTATCAATCGGATGCAAGTTATGGTATCTAAATCCAGAATAATTGAATTGGGGGGTCAAATTGGGTATGGGACATTCAGAGTTTACAGTATTTTCCCTCGTGAGATTACATTGCTGCAACCATTGTTAAAATTCAGAATAGTATGTGATCTGCTTTTTTATTTCCATTGATGGTGTGTCTGTATTTAATTGAGGTTCCAAGGAGGTGATGCAATCAGCGGATGTAAACTCAAACAAATCAAACCGTTTGGTTTGAAAACAAATTGGTTCTAAAAATATGTAGATAGAGAGTATGCCCCTAGGTTTTATATGTATCTCTTTGTTTCCAAAACTGAAACTCGATGTTTTATTGAATTTCTGATTAAAAAAAAAAAACATGTTTTAATCCGGTGATTTGATATCATCTCACATGAATCATATAATATTTATAATACAAATTTCCTTTTTGTTTTGAAAGCGGTATGAATTGTTTTCTGAAATAACCCAGCTTACCTTTTCTTTTTCAAAACAAAATACAATTAAGAAACATGTTTCAAATTTTTTTCTTGTAGCAATTTTAGAAACAAATGAAAATAAAAGCATATTACTTAACAGCACCCCTTTAAATTTTAGTGATTCTTGGCAAACTTGTATGTCGGTTGATAAACAATATAAATCTCCCAATTACATGGGAAGTGACAGCATGACCTAGCTTTTGGTTTTGGCCCCAGTAGCAAACAATCTAATTATAGCCTTCCATCTAGAAAAATGTAAACAGGTCATGTATCAGTTGTTTTTTTTTTTTTAATTAAAACCATAAACAAGGTTTAAAATATCCATACACCCTGGTATGGATCATATGGTAGAAGGGGTGTATCGGTACTTTCACACTTTTTTTTTCAAAAATAGGCTTGAAGGGTACTTTTAAGCAGTGTTTTTTAATCACCGTTAATTCAGACGGTCAAACCATTCAGCCCGGGAATCATCTAGGCAATCAGTTCCGTTTCACCCTCAACCTGGTCCCCGACCAAAAATCATTGATTTGGTTGGTGACCTGCTGATTTAGACGGTCGAACCATTGACCTGTTTAACCCATTCAATAGTTTTTGGCTGTTTTCTTATTTTAATTATTCTTTTTTATTTTTTTTAGTCAGAACAGGCCATCCAATCGAATTGAATGGTCAAACCGTTGACCTAGAAACCGGTGGTCAAAATGGTTCCGATTCCAAGTCGATTTTTAAAACTTTACCTTTAAGCATGGATTAACATATATAAAAAAGAAGTGGCAACTCTTTTGCTAACGGTTAACTAAGCAAGGGGTGAATAGGGATGATTTGTTTTGGGCTAATATTCTAAAATGGTTTTTATCACTTTTGATTGGGGAGTTAAGAGAGTTTATCTCCCCCTCTCCTCTTTACTTTATATCTTTTTTCTCTTAATGAAAGTTATTTGTTATTAATAAAAAAATCTTAAAAATGGTCTATTGGCACCTTGATGATATGATATGATACACTTATACTTTGAACCTTGACTATAAATACCAGCGAAAGCCCACTACAACAACCAAAATTAGACCTAGCAATTGGGTTGGGTGGGTCATGTTCGGGTTGGGTCAAGACACTTCATGTTGATTTCGGGTCGATTTGAATTTCAGGTTGGGTTGTCAAATGCTAGACCCAAACCCTAAATGTTCGGGTCAGGGTTGACCCATGGATCATTTTGGGTCATCCCAAAAAATATTTGAAATTTAAAAAATAAAAGAAATACATGAAAAATGCCAAAAGTGAAGGAATTAACCTAAAATTCCAAATATAAAATAAAAAAACTTGAACATTTAACAATTCAAAGAGTAAATAATAAAGAGTAAAGACTAAATAGTAAAAATTAAAGAGTGGAAACTTCTAACAATGCATAAATAGTCTCAATTAGACCTAACAATCGGGTCAGCGGGTTAACTCATGACCCAACCCAACCCAGTTTTTTCTGGGTTGAGTCGGATTGGATTATTCTCAAATTTAGGTAGCTCAATATAAGACCCTAACCCTATTTTTTCAGATTGGGTTGAGTCGAGTTTATGACCCCGGATCTCCTGCCCACAAGAACTTTGCCCACGTCTACCCACAACACACTACCCCGTGAATTGGGAACATCTCCCCTGTATAATATTATGTACAAGGATGAGATGTTCTCCATATATGACTGCAATATTGTGTGAGTAGACGTGGGCAGAATTTGTGTGGGCTGGGTCAACTTTTTGCTACCTCTACAAAATGAATAAATGAATGATGTATCCTCTATCACATAAACGCTTATACCATTCTAACTTGGAACCACTGTTGCGTGTATACCACTGGGCAAAGGCTTAAAGTAATCTTTATTGCATCAGGTGCACGTGTTGCGTGTAAATGAAAGCAAAGAAAATAAAAATAATTTATAGTAACTAAAATTTTATATTAACCTAGTTAATTAAATAGATGTTATTTTTTCATGTGTATGGTTGATTGTTGGGTGGAGGTAGGGGGTGATAACCGGCCAACAATCAACCCACACAACATGTATTTTAAAAATTTAAATTTGTGGGTTCGGAAGTTTGATTACGGTCCATGATACCCTTAGGTGAAGGATAGAGATATGATAATGTTTTTTTTTAAGCTGTGTTTGGTTGCAGCTTGCAGTGCAAATGAAAAGAATGTAAATTCTGTTTTAATTTTGTTTTGGGTTTTACTTTATTCTGCTTCAGGTTTTATTTTATTTCATAAGATTTTGAAATAAAAATAAATCATAATTATATACTGAAATCATTTGCACTACCATGGTTTTGCATCAATACAAATAAATTTGCATTGCAACCAAACACAGCCTTACATATTTATATTTGTACTCACACCTAGATATTTTATACTTGTACTCTGTTCAATTTTTTAGTACGGTCCACGTCAGCATGTCTCTCCTTTGAGAGAAGCTATCTGTCTATTTTCTCCATTTTTTTTGTATTTTTTCTGTTTTCTTTTGTTTTAAAATATAAAAAATAATCATTGCTTATTTTGATTAGATCAGTAAAGCTTTACACTATTAGAGAGAAAGAGAGACCTCTTATTTTAATGCATGCTATTATTAAAATAAGATAGACTTTTTAAGTGTTATTGTTATATTTAAAAGATACAATTAAAAGAGAGAGAGAGAGAGAGAGACCTTTGGGTTTTTCAAGGCCTATTATTTTAATGCATGTTATTATTAAAATAAGAGAGACATTTTAAATGTTATTATTATATTCAAAAAAGACATTTAAGAGAAAGAGTAGTAATACAATATAATAAAGTAAAATATTAATAAGTCAAATAATAAAGCACCAAAAATAATAAGTCAATATAATAAAGTAAATTATTAATAGGTTGAGGTTAAACAATCAAACATAAAACATTTCAATTCCACTAAATTATAAAAATTATTAATTTAAAAATCTACTAAATTTCCACTTAAAACTAATAAATATTAACAAAACTTAGTAAAGATTAAAAACACTTCAATTCCACTTAAAAAATCGAACTTAATAAACACTAATAAAACAAGAAATTTAAATATAAAAAAATATTAATTAATAGATTTAATAATATGACTTTGATATATTGCAAATAGAATCCATGTTCTAATGTTGTATTTTGTTTTGTTTATTCTTTTTATTTTATTAGATAACTCTATATTAATGTATTTTTAATTAATTAATAATATTGTTAAAATTAATAGTTTTTATGAGTTGAAACCTTTATTGTGCATAGTGCCCAAAATGTAGAACCCATTTTATCACTCAGATGAAGAAGACAAGTTAAGTGAATCTGTGTTGACCCATTTTCGAAAATGGTTTTGGTTCGCTTAGAAACCTATGAAGTGTGATACACGATATGCAATAATAATAATAATAATATAATTTGAAGCCAAATAGCTATAACTAATAAAAATTACTAAAGCTAATAAAAATATTAAAAAACTAAAATACAATTTAATTAATATTAAAATTATAAATTTAATTAAAATAATATCATAAGACTCCTACTTAGGGATAACCATTTATAACTTAGGCCAACCTAGGTCTAGCTCTGACTACACCAAGCCCACACATAATGCAGATAGTAGGGCTATAAAATTAATAAAAAAATACTAAAGTTAATAAAAATGTTAAATTTTAGCAGCTTTTACCTAGCAACGATTAAAATTAAGAAATTAATAAAAAATTGTATCAATAGGATAATTAAAATTAATAATAAAAAGTAACAAATTGTTTATAACTTAGCCTAACCCGATTAGATCTATAAATTTCTATGCTCAAGCAACTATTTTCTTTTGAGTTAGGTCTAGATCAAATGTGCACCAAGCTCACACATAATGTCAATAGTAAGGTTGTAAACGGATCAGATTCAAATGAAATCTAGCTACATCCACATCAACATCCGATTATTATTATGTTGGATTTTGAATTTTGGGCTGCGTTTGGAAACAACACAAATAGAGTGTAAATCCCGATTTTGGGTAAATTTGCACTTTG